TTACTGACTAAAAACCACCCCTTTGCTTCTCCTGTTTCGGGTCGGGGTCATGGAACATTATTGCGCTCACATTCTCCGAATAAAATATCTCTGCCTCCGCCCTTAATTAAAAATAGTCGTTAAAATTAAAACATATTACATGGCGTGATGCGTCAGAAGCATGTCGTTTTCATATGTTTTCATAAGTTAAAGTTAGAGAGAGAGAGAAAGCGAGAGAGATAAATTGCGATATGAGTACATACGTGTCATGTATAATATGAAAGTGTATATCTTCCTTTAGGTTTGTCTCGTAACGACCTTTATCAAGATCTCTCTCGGTTAAACTATTCTAAATTTATATTAGAATTCATTACTATTAACACATTTCCTTCCACTGTTGGATATAGCCCTTTTCAATAATATGTCAGAAAGCTCAATGAGCACTCCACCTAGCTGTTAATCTTCCAAAACTAATTTGTTATCTAGGTACATAAAACTGGCCAGCCCATTCCAATATGTAATTTATTTATTGGATATTCAACCTTATTTGTTTATTTTTTTTAATGGTCACACATACAGCATTACACGGGGCAACACACAAGTACATAGGTGCTACATATTGTAATGTCTTCCTGCAGACATAGGTCTTTCATTCATAGGAATGAAAGGAAAAGTTGTTAAGATACACGACACAGTGTAATAAGAGAAGAATAAAAAACTGAAAGAACTTAACCATTATACCTATTTATGTAAATACTCATATATATATAATATAAATACACATAAATATATAAGAAACTAGCAGACCCTACCCGACTAAATCTTTAGGGCCGTTTCCGAGAGCACTATACATGCTTTCCAAGCAATCAACGCCATCTGCCGGGCTGATGTATGAATCTAAACCATCAAAGGCGCCACTCTAAAGCATAGAGAAAAAAAAACATTGAAATCGGTAAAGCCGTTTAGGAGGAGTTCAATAACAAACACACGTACAGCAGAGTTATAAAGATAAATAAAAGTACAAATATAAATAAGTCTGTACTCTATATATGATTATCATGACGGGAGGGGAAGGTACCTATAGGTACCTATATTATCATGAAGGAAATACCAGTATCTTACAGATACAGACTTAGGCCTCGTTTACGTTGCGTGCGTGCGATGTGCGATTCGTCATACATTGCTCGTGATGTTCATATGTTTGTGTTTGCACGGCCGTTGACAAGATTTGATGCTGTAATGTACGACAAACGAAATACGCGCCGCGTAACGCCCCGCGTGTACGTAAACGAGACCTTAGCGTTCTTCTTGTCAAGCGGGAGCGAATTCAAAAAATTAAAGTAGGTAATCAAAATCAAAATTTGACAGAAATGAGTAGGTTGACTTGATGGCCACTGCATTTTTTTTTTACCACATTATGAAGTTTCATGGACTCAGGGCAATCTGTATTACTAACGTAGTTTGTTATGTACATAGTTAGATAGTGACTTACTTGACTTAATATCCTGTGTCCCCTAGATGGGGCAGAGGGCGTCCACTGAAGTTCTCCATCGCGATCTGTCTTGAGCTTCACGCTTCACCTCACTCCACGTCATACCGATGCTCGTCGCTTCTGCCAGTACGGTGCGACGCCAGGTTTGCCGTGGACGGCCACGCTTTCTTTTCCCTTGGGGATTCCAATCCAAGGCTTGCTTGGCTATGTGGCCAGGACCCCTTCGGAGCGTGTGCCCTATCCATCCCCACTTGCGGCGCTTGATCTGTCGGTCGATTGGGCTTTCGTGGCATTTCTCCAAAAGCTCTATGTTGGAGATTGTCTCGGGCCAGTAAATTCCGAGAATGCGACGCAGGCATCGGTTAACGAAGACTTGAAGTTGACGTGAGATGTCTTTGGTTACCTTCCACGTTTCGCACCCATAGAGCAGTACGGATTTTACATTGGACCCGAAGACTTTCAGCTTAATCCTTCGGGTCAGTTTCCGTGACTGCCACACAGGTCTTAGCTGCGCGAAAGTAGCTCGGGCTTTTGCGATCCTTGAAGTGATGTCCTCTTCAGTACCTCCAGTCTCTGACACGACGCTCCCGAGGTAGGTAAATTTGTGGACGCGTTCCACTGCCTCTGTGCCAATCAGCAACGGTGTAGGATTCTTCACACCCGCTCTAATTTCTTTGGTCTTTCGCGTGTTAATTCTTAGGCCAGCTTTTGCCGCCTCCTGCCGCAGGTCGTCCAGTTTTGCTTGCATGTCGGCGTGGGTATGACTCAGCAGGCATAGGTCATCGGCGTAATCCAAATCTTCCAAGCAGTTGGATAATCCCCATTCTATCCCGCGGCGCCGATTGTGAGTCGTGCGAAGCATGATCCCATCCAGAACGACCAAGAAAAGAAGCGGCGATAAGAGGCAGCCTTGTCGGACACCCGCGTGGACCACTATGTCATCGGAGATAAGGCCATCATGTGACACTTTACAGGAATAATTCCTATACATGCTCTCCAACAGCCGGACGATCTTTGGCGGAACCCCCAAGTCCAGCAGACGGGACCAGATGCTAGACCACTTCAACGTATCAAAGGCCTTTTCGAAGTCGACAAAGGTAAGATAAATCTCCCTTTGCCATTCTGTTGCCTGCTCTAGAATGATACGAAGAGTGTTGATCTGGTCCGTACATGAACGGTTCGATCGAAAACCTGCCTGCTCCCTGCGTAGAAGAGGATCCACGGCCTTTGGCAGTCTATTCAAGAGAATCTTGCAAAAAACTTTTGCGGGAATAGAGAGCAGTGTTATACCTCTCCAGTTATCGCACTGACTAAGATCTCCTTTCTTAGGTACTGTGATTATAAGCCCCTTGTTCCAGTCATCAGGAAACTCTTCTAGCGTCCAGATTTTTTCAAAAAGAGGCGACAGGACGTCGACAGCGGAGGATAAGTCGGCTTGAAGCATTTCCGCGGTTATCAAGTCGAGTCCTGGTGCTTTGCCTAATTTCAAGGAGCGGATGGCTTCAGCAACTTCACTAGCTGTTGGAGTCTCCGTGTTGATGTCAAGTAGCCGAGGTGGTGAGGAATTAACAGCTAGTGCGCAAGGTGTCGCTGTAGCCGACATGCGAAAGACCTCCTCAAAGTGCTGACGCCAGCGAAGCAGCTGCTCTTCGGATGTTGCAATGAGCTGACCGTCTTTAGACTTCAGTGGCTTTTTCTTTCTAGGCTTGTTGTTACCTGTCAGGGTTTTTGTGGCCTTATATAGCTCTTTTAGGTTCCCAGCGTTTGCAGCCTGTTGAGCGTGATCAGCAATACCGTCAGCCCACTGTCTCCTATCTTTGCGGGTGCTGCGATAGATTTCTTTCCGCTTTTGACGATACTGTGCGTTCAGGTCGGCTCTTGTAGCGTCATCCTGGGCCTCGAGCAATCTCAGGTGAAGCCTTCTTCTGTCCTCAATCAGACTCCATGTATGCTGCGACATCCACTCTTCCCGCCAATGAGCCGTTCTGTGCCCCAGAACGACGGAGCTGGTCTCTGTATAGACCACTTTGATACGATTCCACTCCTCGTCTAACGAATCCCGGGCCGTATCAAGAGCAGCAAAACGATTGCGTAATTCGAGACGGAACAATTTACGCGTCTCGTGGTTATTCAATTTGCCGACCTCAAATCTTCTTCCGACCTTGCCAGTGCGTCCAGGTTTACGGGCTACAGCAACCTTGAGCCGAACTTCAGCAACTATGAGATGGTGGTCGCTATCAATATCGGCGCCCCTGCGGTTGCGGACATCAAGTAAGGAGGAACGCCATTTGGAGCTTATGGCAAGATGGTCAATTTGGTTCCTCGTGACGCCATCGGGTGACTTCCACGTGTACTTGTGGTGATCGCCATGATTAAATAAAGTTCCCCCGATGGTCAGATCATGGTTCTGGCAGAACTCGATGAATCTCTCTCCGTTCTCGTTGCACACTCCAAGTCCCTGCGTGCCCATATGCCGTGTGCGGTTTGTGTTGTCAGTCCCGACCTTTGCATTCAGGTCTCCCATGACGATGACGATATCTTGTTTCTTTATTCGCCTCAGGGTGGCGTTGAGGGCATTGTAGAAATCGTCTTTAGTTTCTTCTGTTGCTGCATTGGTTGGGGCGTAGCACTGCACCATTGAGATTTTCCGGGCTCTGGAGTTGAAACGGGCGTATATGATTCGGTCTGAGATTGGTTTCCAGTCAAGGAGGCTATTTTTCGCCGCTTTAGAGAGGAGGAGCCCAACGCCATGCTCACGTACATCTTCCTCGCTCTCTTTGACTGAATACAGCAAAGTCAAGCCTCTGGTCGTTCTCAGCTCACCGAATCCATTTCTTCTCACTTCGCTTAGTCCGAGTATCTGCAGGTTGTAAGAAAGCATTACTGCTTCTGCTTGGGCTAGTCGGCTGTCCTCACTTAGCGTCCGCACATTCCAAAAAGCAATTCGTGTCCGTAATTTCATGCCAAAAGTAGTCGTTGAAAGATCAGTCCGGTTTGCTTCAGTTTCGGTTTCCATAATCAAATATTTTCGAGCAAGCAGGATTAGCCCACTGTGCCTTAATCCGCTAGCGGGGCTGCCGCTTCAGAGCCTGCGGATATGCTTGGTTTTGTGTCAGGTTTCCTCCCTAGTGAGTCGATTCTGTTTTAAGGCGCAGAATACTCGCCTTGCGCCCTGCATCCGTTAGCTTAGCTGCAACTCAAGGTGGCGGTCGCGCGGCGGCGCGGTTGCAGCAGGTCCCAGGGAGGACGACGGGGACGTGGATGGCACGGACTGGCTAGGGCTCTGCTTTGTACGGTACTCCGCCACGAGTACAGCAGAAGGCATCTTGGCATTTTATAGGTAATGCTGCTCTCACTAACAGCGATTCCCACCAAACCTTACCCTAGCTTCCCCCCCCCCTAGTTAGATAGTAGTTAGTGTAAAAATAATTTTGTATGTTGATTTTCAAACGTAAAGTTACTTATTTTGTTTAGTAATCATGAGGATATTTTTTCTAAGTTTAGCATCATGGATGAGTACCTAAGCCACGTCTTTGTATAGTGTGTAAGCTCTATTTCAAGTCAGGCTTTCGCAGAAGGGTGAATAAAATAAAACAAACTTATAGCAAATATTCAATTATACATATTTTCTCTTCTTTTTACAAACAGTTAACTTATTTAACATATTTCGATCTATAACATTTTCCATTTACAATAAATCTGAATAGTAGTCATTCCGCTATACAATAAAATATACATATATATATTTTTGCGATATCTGTCATATAATAACAATTTTATAGTTATTTATCTATTAATTTAAATGACACAACATTTCCTGTTTTCTACAGTACGCTATTACCTCGGAAAGTTCAATAGTCGGTACAAATTTGGTTCTGATAGTAGCATAGACAATGAATGTTCCCGATGTAACTTTCCGCGGTACTAATCTGTTTATACAATACGGGTATCATTGAAATGTTTGGACAACAACTCCAACTCAGCAATAGCAGTGGAATACTAAAATATTTGAAAATCTGTTAAGGATGGCACAATCATTTGTGTCAAGTAATGCTTCGTCAGTGAGGGCACAGTCAACGCACAGACTATGTGAACCATTACTGGCCTTGCCCGCTGGCAACATCAACGTAACATTATGAATCTCTCTTCATACATTATTATCTATTGTCACTATACTTGTAACACCTAAATATCAATCACAATAGAGTCGCGATTCGCACAAAATAACATTCGTAGTAAAGTCTTGGAAGAAAGAGAGAGAGATATCTAGATATTTATAAAAGTATGTAAACGAAAGAAATTGGCATAGCAAAAGCAATGATCGTTTACAACGGAGCCAACAGTATATACTTGATGTCAGTCTTTGGGCATATTCTATGACTTAGTCGATAGAGATGTTATAGCGATCGCAATCGATAACAGTCTCGATTACTCGCGAGTCATGTAATCACATCGATTTGTAAAAATAAACTCTCATTGGAAGGCATTGTATTGGAATAGATAAAGCTGTCCGTTAACTTGTTGTAAACAGTAATTGCTTTTAGAAATGTCAGCCTCTGGTTTACGTATAACAAATATCTCTGACGGAATCCAACACATTGCAAATAACATTTGCATATTGTCTAATCAATACATTATACAACAAACATCGATGCACATAAAAGATGGTAATTATTATACACTTATTAATGTAGCATATAATCAAGTAACAAGTGCTGACTGAATATGTACCTACACATTAACGATATTTTAACGTATAATTGACTCACTAAATCTACGAGGAGGCGCGGAAGAACATCGATTGTGCCAATGTTATACAATGGATTGGCAATATTACAACAAAGTGTCCCTTAACAAAATTTTCTCTATAATATCAATCATGATTGTGCCTGAATTACGTCCACAAAAATAATATAGCACCTTTTTGAAATTAAATTAATACTTTCTGAATTTGGATTTTGGGAAATAATACTTTTTGTAACAAATTTTGTACTAAATGATTGTCCAGCGTTGATAGCGGAGCTTCATAGTTAAACGACGGAACGAGCTCGCGCCCACAAATAAATGCTCCTATCTCATAATTTAAGTAATATCTTCAAAGAAACTACTATCCCACAACATTCAGTAAAGCGTCCCAGTCTTTTCAAAAGTTTATTTTCATCAAATTGAGATCTTGTTTAGACTTGATAGCGACCACTCGCTCGCGCGTGACGTCACCGGCGCACGCGCACGCCACGCGGACGTCGCCGCCGCGAGACACTAGTCTTATAGTTTGTGAGGTAGGCTTAGTCATGATCTAATGAAAGCGCCTTGTTAGAAAATACCGATTAATAAAATGAGATCTTTCATTACAATTACAAATATTAATATAAAGACGATAAAACTAGAATTACATACATTATACAACAAATTATTAACTTTTGTACAACACCATCCGTCGTCGTGAGGTGTTTGTATTCTATGGTCGCGGTTATCGTTTAACACAATATCATTAAGAGCACGTAGCATTGCGGTACAATGAAAGCAACCCTTTGCAAATCTAACTGTCCGTATCCCTGTGTCACCTGTCACTCTGCGCCTGCGCACTCTATCTGCCAAGTGCGATAGAACATCCATGACTCGTTACATCTGACAACGTAATTGTTCGACATAAACTTATTATGCAAAAAATATATTTATGGATTTCAATTTATATTTATACAAATACGAAAATTGCGTGCAGTGTATTTTCACTTAAGATTTATATTAAATTAATTTGATTTTGATATGGCCATGCGTTTGTCGTTATGTTCCATAACGTTATCTTTATATGTTTCATCACAGACGCTATGTTAAGTTTGTTTTGTTTTAGTTTTTCAGAGTTTTATTTTTGAGTAGATATACAACAACTATACATTTTCTTACCAATAACGCACTTATTTGTCTAAAACATATATTTCTTTTATTCAAGCAATACTTCATACCTACTCTGACCAATAACTACAAAATATCACAGACTGTGTGTTTATTATGTATACATCTTCTCATAGAAAAGTTATGTGTATCACACATGGACGTCAAAAAGCAATAGAGATGACATCTATATATACCATGAACATTATACATATTCCATTTTATGTTACAATATATAACTATCAATTATCAACATTTATATTAGATCAAATTATTTGTCAGAAGAGTTTGCCAGTACAGTTCAGCGAACGGGGCGTGCGGCGCGCCACCAGCACGAAACGACAATGACATCGTCATGGATATGTCTGCAGTCACAACCATCGGAGGAGAATGCAACTCTGAGATGACTGCGTCCGTTACAAACATAATCATTCAGAATACTCGTAGAAAGAAATCAGTCGAGATTTAAGCACACGTCAGCCCATTACTCTACTACCTACTATCTAACATTCATTGTACCTCTTTTTTTGTTTCTATATGCGTTGCCACGTGTCCACGCAGACTGGCGATAAAATCTCATTGGTTATCACAATATCTAACCTACTTTAAGATCTGGTACAAACTTACACTTTGTTATTTTTGTGCTCATTATTTTAAATGTTTTATCTCCATGGTTGTGGAATATAAAATTAAAATATAATATTGTTTATAGGTTCTCGTGTAAGTATGTCTAAAGCGTTTTACTTTGTATGCCGTATATTGTAATATATCTTCGTGTACCATAGAGGAATGAGGAGTGGGGGAACGCTCGGCGTCGCCAGACCCCTTCCTTTTGTGACACGTTAGGTTAGTCATGGAGCGTAACGTTTAACTTCGACCTAAGTTACATACATATTTACAACATCGTACACGAACGCGTACAGAAGCACCCGACAGTAAAAAGCACCTAGAGTTCCCCAATAGAATTTCATAAGCGTACTATTATGGACTGCCGATCGCTGCAGAAACCGCGCAAATTAATATTTAACAATAGTGCATGCCGCAACATGCAACCGAACTCACTGGGGCCGTTCATTATCTATCTATAACGTTCCTTCCACGTGGAAGATCTCCTCCGTAGCACTTGTCCATTCGTTCCACTACCATGTTCAGCAGGTCCGGCACACAGAACAACGAAACTGAGTCAGAAACGAGTAGCGAATTGCAACGATCACAACACGATCAAGACAGTTCTCCTCCAAATACGAATACGAAGGTCAGCGTTTCAGCGTTTCTTGAGAGGAGGGGGATTATCCTCGCAGACGTCTGAAGCAGACCAGCGCCGCTTGCGCGCATCCTCCTTCACGCTGAGGTTTTCTGGATGCGTCTGTGGGGGCGCGGGTGGCGCGGCTGGGGTGTGGGGCGTGTGAGGCGTGTGAGGCGTGTGTGGCGTATGGGGCGTGTGTGGCGTGAGGGGCGCGGGCGCGGGCGCGTGGCGCCGCGGCACCAGCGACACGCACACGTCGCCCACCTGCAGCCTCTGCACGCGCAGCCCGTACTGCGCCAGCGTGCGCTCCGGCTTGCACGACGCCCAGCCACGCCCGTACACGAAGAATGGATGCTCCACCGTGGATTCCAGCTCCACCTGCAATTTATAAGATTTTGCTTAGTTTCATAATCGCTTTTGCTTCATGATGACGATTTCTGTTGCTTTCATTAGCTTAAACTTTCTATAGCTTCATTAAGCCTTATTGGTTAGATGTACTTACACACTTTGTACAGTCTTTTCAAAGTCAATTTTACAAAAATAGATACAAGATGTTTTTTGCAAATATCTTTATATCAGTAGCTCAAATGGTAGGTATAGAAAGACTAAGTTAACAACAAACCTTGCTGACCTGAGAGCGATTCCTGTCGTAAGTGAGAGTGAGGGCCAGCCTGTCGCCGCGCTCGTCGAGCCGCAGAAGCGTGCACTGAGTGAGCGCCAGGTCTCCACTGCGGTCTGCACTCATCACGAAGTCCTCAGTTCGCATCTCTTCCACTCGCCGTAATGACCCGTCCTCCAGCCGTATCAACGCCCCTCGGCAGAAGTAAGGCGCGGGCGCACCTCGCTCGGGGGACGTAGGAGGGTCCTGGAATAATGTAAACACTGAATAAGGTTCTGCTTTTACAATAAACAATTAAAAAAAGTAATAAGTGACATATATAAGCATGTAGGTAATTTGATTTGTTGTAAATAGTTTTTGGTATAGCGAATAATCATGTTGTGGTGACATGCTTTTCGTGCAGCTATTAAATTGTGATTTGTAGATTGCTTCATGTCAATGTGTAAACAAAATGTACCTCTCTGGGTGGTTGTACTGGCGCTGGTGCTGACACGGGGGGCGAGTGGGGCGCAGGCGCAGGTGGCACGAAACCAGAGGTGGCGCGCGGCCTGATTGGGTAGTTGGACGGCGGCGGCTGCGGCGGCGCGCGCGTCCGGTACAGGTACGACGCGTACGACGCCGGGTGCGGCAGGAACGGTGCGTACGCTCCGGGCACGGAAGGGAATGGTGGCGCTGAAGGCGCAGGGGGCGCGGGCATCGCATCCCGCGGTCTCCGTGGCGCGTACCGCGCATACGGGCGCGGCGGAGGTGCCAAGAACTCGGGCGTCATGCCGGCCTGCGGCGGAGGGTACAGGTTCAGCTGCCCGAGCTGCCCCAGCTGGGCCAGCGCCTCGCTGGGGAGACTCGCTGAGATCATCGGACGGGCTGGAAACAAATAAACATACAAATTAATTATGTTTAAACCGTTAACAAAGAACTCGGTGACGTATTAATGGATAACGCTCATCTCATATTATAAACTCATAAACATATATCGGCAATAAAGCGCGATAATATAATTGCTACAAATGATCAGAATCATATTTGTTATTGTTAAACACTAATTAGTAGCAAACTAGATCACGGCGAGAGGCGGCCATCTCGACGAGCCGCGAGTAGTTGTCCAGCATCTGCGTTAGATCGAGTATTTTGTATCGCGACAAGATAAGAATGTGGAGCGGCCGACGTCAACATTATAAATAGATTTTATTCACGTACATAAAAGTTAGTAATTCAGTGTGCACGCCACATGACGTGGAGTAGTCTGTCGTATAAACACGGCTTTTGTTCTATTTTTAGGGTACGGTCAACCATACACATAAAACGATCTTTGTTGCTTTATCGTCGCCACTCTGCGTGATCCGGCCGAGCTGTTCCAACTGGACTGGCGTAATTATTGTTGCTTCATACTAACTTACTACACATAAACGTCCGTATGTTGTTGTAGCTGTCTCGGATATTGTTACAATAATATTCTTAAATAACATCAAAGACATGAAAAAAACTGTAAGGTACATTAATAAATCTTAGACCGCATTGTAGAGTGTATGAACCCATAGACTTTGATAACATTTTGCCATGAGTTGAGGTGATGATGCGCGAAAAGCAACGTTCTGCGGAGTAGATAGCTTTTCCAGTATACGCTAAAATCCTAGAGTACCTAGTCTAAACATATCTGTTAGCGAAAAACCAGAGAGCCGAACATTTCTTAAATTTTTATTGCATCGAAACTAAACAGTTTGGTAGTTACAATTTAAACAATTAGTTAAATTAAAACGAAGCACCAATACCTGGGTGTAGATAAATTATTTCTAATTTGAGCAGCCAAACGTTAGCGCAAGGTTATCTCAAACCGATACAACGTTTTCTCGGCTGTTTGGGTACTTATCACTATAACATGAAACACGTGTACGCGAGTAAATATTTTTCTACTTTGTTTGAATTTTCACACTACACCTATTTGTTTCGTTACGTTAAATATGTGATCCGGTGGTTTAGTGCTTTTGAAAATGTGTGCCTTTTGTTATATAGTAGTATAGATACTATATAGACTGTGTAATTAGTAAGTGGAATTCCTTGCCAGAGTCTGTGTTTTCCGAATGGTATAACCTGGGTGTCTTCAAGGCCCAGGTGAATAAGTTGATGAGTAGTTTTACTCCATCGCATCATCGCTTATAACCAGATGTGATAGCGGCCATACCGAATAAAAAAAAATTGTCAGTAAAAAATATTTTACACAGCCAAAAAAGTGTTTTGCTCATACAGACGGATATGTTTAAAAAGGTTTAACTTCTAGGGTTTCAAAGAAACTGCTAATATAATATCCATACACAATAATAGTTGGAAGATAAAGAATATGTGGTTTGGGAGGTTCGTCAGCATTCCTGTACGTGTTAGTGCTGCAGGCGATAATTTGAAGAACAAAGAATGCGCCGACGCACCTGCGCAAACAATAAGCTCTTTTCCAGTTAGCACACCTCTCACTGCAGGGGATGACGTGCGTGCATATGCTTGAGGTTGACAAAAACTTGTTAGCCTAGAACACCATAGTACGTGCCTTCACGCACACTTGAAACAGGAGCGAGTTTTTTAATCATTTACTTCACATTAGGTGTAAAATTAACTTATTATTATCTTTTATTTACTTGAAAAAATCCTTTGAAACACGGAGGCTATCGTTTCGTTATGCCCAGTGATAATTTCAAAAATCTTACATAATTCCTTCAAAAGACGTGAAACTCGATAGGTATCGAAATATTACACAAGACTCTAGACTAGGCTTTCTAGATTTAGTCACGAACCTTTCGCGACCTTGTTGCCAGTGTAAAACTGTTTCAGCCAGCCTGAAGAGAAGTTTGTTATTTGCCCAAGCCTGGCGAATACTAGTACTAATGATTCAGTGAAACATGAATATAAGGAAACATCGCAGAGATACATAAAATCGGCTACTACATTTTCCTTATCTGGTTTCATGGAAAAAATATGAATAGATTAAGTCTTAGCTTCATATCGCATTCCAGGCTGAATCAGTCAACAAAACAACGTTTAAAAATGTGTGTAAAATTATAAACATTGTCAATTTGTTACGTAATTGTTAAAAGCGTGAAGTTGCACAGAAATATTCGTGCAAAGTAAAATTTCGCGATGGAGGAAGATCGCATACATTGTTTGCGGGCGTGAGTCACAAAAACAATGCGAGATGGAGTGTCGTGACTAAGGCTTTAAAAATTCAAGTCAATTAGCTAGCTCTGAGCCGCGGCCGAGTGTCGGCACGACGTGCAACACCACTACCTAACTACCTAACTCTTACTAAGCAACCATACTGAACTATTTTTATTTCTACTTCTAACTAAAATGTACAAATCAAAACTAGATTGCTAGATACAAATCCAGTAATATACAACGAATTACAACCTAGCTAATCACGATGCTCTCCGACGCTAAAAACAATATTCAAGATCACGTTGTTGAAATGATACAAGTCATTAAAACTGATTTAAAATCATGCGATTCGTTTTCCACATGTTGTTCAAACGGGCGAGTGAACGGTGATTAATCAAGTATATCTTGTACGTCCGCGACCTTTAAATTGCTCTAAAGTCCGACATACATAAATACATTGATCGTTGGGATATAATGAAATGCTAGTATAAATAAGAACGTTCTAAATTTGTGAGTTTGTGGCGCGCTGTCTGTCGGTTGTGATCGTATCGGCGTAGGCGCAGGCAGCAAGGCCGCGAGTTCGCCGGCCGCACGGTAAAAACCGCGTATGAATGGCGAGCCAAATTCGCGAGCGATTCTCGGCGGAAGCGCTTACATCACGCGCTCAACATGGCCGCCGTAACGCTCAGCTAATTATTATTTGTTAAAATATTGGACAGCCGCTTATTTGCTTTTTTATTTAAATAATCGCAATCAGAGCGCGAACACAACTTCTGTTTGTCTGCTATGCTTACTTTGACATTGATCTATGATTTAATTTAGCTCTTTATTGCATGTCTCGAGTTAATAATGTACATGTCTACTTGTATTGCAGTATTTCCGCCTAAATTGTTACATAGATTAATCAAGCTGTTTACTAATAGAGTAGTCGCCAACGTTAAATGAGAAACACATTCTGCAACAACTCTGAGATTTTTACGACAATTTATAAATACACGGAAAGTTACGAGTATCGTTTATAAAGTAGTATAATAACAGTATGGTGTTATTAGGCGGCGTGGCGGGTGGGTGGTGGCAGGCAGGGCGGGCGGCGGGCGGCGGGCGGTCGATAGGGCGCCGCCCGTAACCCACTTCCGACGCCCCTGACCTTGCCGCCGCCATTCACGCCGCGTCTTACAGCGGCCGCTGTGTCCCCTCCCCCCTCCTCCGAGCGACCTCCTCACCCCAGCACCCCTCCCCGGCGCCCACCGTCACGCACGCCGCCCTGCTCCAACTTACAAATGCTCGGATTATTTTGACTTTACGCTTGATTCGACGCACTGGGATGTTTATCAGACATCTGTTTACACTAAGTAAGATTTATCAAAACTTCAGGAAACATTAAAACGTAAAATAAACAAAAGTTAGTTTTTTCCTGTAATAAAACTGAAAGGGATGCTGTTTTACCTCTTATAACAATAATAATAACTGATCTGAAAACAGCTGAAATAAGTTGAAACTGTTTACAATAAATTATTTATTAGCAAAAACAAGTAAACACTTTATTTCCTGGTCGAAGTGGGTACAGGTGTGCTACAAATGGTACAGTAACAGGGGTCATGCGAAATAAAAACAGGATCAGCTGATAGCGGAATTATTTTAGTGTGATAAGACGCATGAAAGTAATAATGTATTAATTTGTGTCTGGTTCGTAATTATAATGATACTGTGTCACGCCAGACGTGTTAGTATTGGTAATTAGTATAATAATTGTACAGCGGCAATGTCCAATCGGTGGGAATGCCATAATATGATATGATGCGCACCTGTTTCGCCCAGCTGTCGCGGACATTATATCTAAGCTAGGGCTACCGCTGCCAGACGTGTGTTTTCCTTACGTAACGTCTGCTGCCCTAAATTCTGGGATTAAATCGTTAAACTTTCGTCTGAACTGGCAAATCCTATCAGAAATAGCTAAACATTGCTGTAATCAATGCACTAAAAAGAAACTTCAAAAAAAGCTGGCTCTAAAGGGTGCAAGGCTGCTACTAATGGTCTCCACTATTTAATTGATCTTATTTTACATATAAACCTTCCTCTTCGACCACATTATCCATTAAAAAATCGCATCAATATATAAGGACAGAGAAAGCGACTTTGTTTTATACTGGTATTGTGTTTATACTTTTGCAAGATTAGTTTTATGAACCAATGATATTTATGATATGAGACTGTGATTTGTAATTTTGTTAGTAGCTCTTGAATAGAAAAGTGCTCAGCCCTAGCAATTTCGGTGACTTGACATGCAAACGTTACATATAATTGGTAACTACATACATATGTAGTACAATAAGCATTACTTGGCGTGGTGTGAAGTCAAGAACAAACATTAATAATTATGTTGGCGACACACTGTTGCCGAATACATAATGAAGTGAATTTATCGGAAGAAATATTTTCGAAGTAATCGAATTAAATTTCAAACATTTGTCTTAAGCTTAATTACCAATAGAACTAATCCTCTGAAAAGACCGTTTATCATAATACTAGGTCTTCTAAGAAATATCTTAACCCAACCAAGTTTAAAACGGATCGAAAGGGTTACAGGTCTAGAATTCACACGAGGTCGCAGACTGAAGACGACGACCAAGGCAATAACAGCCAGGATTTCTAGCCTTGTAAGGCCAACTGACACAATAAGGATTTATAATCATCATCATCATCAGTTAGGCCCCAAACACACA